ATGCTGTCAAAAAAAAAACTTGATTTATCAAATTAATTTCGTTGTTTAATCTATTTTTATGATTATGACATAATTGTATTCAAAACACCCAACATATAAATCCAAAAATAGATATAATCTAGAAACCATTTGAATTATATGATAAAGCTGTTGGTTATATTTAATATTGTGATCAGAAAATTTGCAACTATTAAAACATATAAGATGCATGATAGATACCAGAATATCCTCTTTTGAGATATCTAAACATATGTTTTTTTTACATATTATTTTAGGAAAGGTATTTTTTTTTCTAAATTAACATCAAAAAAATATTAAAGACCGATTCTAAACCGGTTATCATTTTCCAGATATTAACCGTATAAATATTGGCGCCAAGATTAAAATCCTTAAAAAAGGTTAAATTTTTTTTCTAAAATAGCTATCTGTTACAAGATTGTAAATTTTGTAAAATAATATATTATTTATATTATAATGTTTAAGGCGTTATTTTATAGTGTATTGCCACTTGATAAATGGATAAAAGTTAATTGTTTGAAAAAGAAAGTTAAATTCGTATATATATATATATTATAGTTTCTACATAAATAAGATACACATTTTTTTCTTAAAAAAATCTACACAAAATAATAATACAATTTTCTTAAATTAAACGACATTAAATAATAAAAAATCGTCTCACTATCAAATCGTTCTCATATTATTATCGACTCAAACCGCAACGTAAGTGCAATCCCCCCCCCCATCCTTTGTATCACCATCGATAGAGAATCTTTTCTCTTTCCTACTGGTGTCTCAAAATTATTTTTTATCTTTTTTTTTTTTTACTATTTTATAAAATCAAACGTTAAATTTTGAATATAGCCCGAAGTAGGTTAATGATGCTTACTAACAAAGGCAATACCGAGCAAATCGTGATTTTACAATTTAGATTTGATACATACTGCCAAAATACCAAAATTTATTAAAATGTAATAAGACCCTTATTATTTAACGTATTTTTAATTTTTGGAAGGCAATTATGAGTTCGGCCTCCTATATATCATCCCCCCAAGGACGGAACCACCAAGTTAGATTGAGAAAAAAAAATATGATCATTGCTGGGATTCGCACCCATAACCATGGGATTGGTAAACAACTCACGCTTTCCAAAGATCACGATTTTTCAAATATATCTTATAAATATATTTGGTAATGCCTTTTCAAATAAAAAATAAACAAAACACAAATTAGATAGGTAATATCTTAAGGTAGTAAGCATCATTAACCCCTTTAAAAAGGGAATCAATTTGTACTGTTTTAAAGTCGATTTATACCATTATAGTTTTTGAGATATTCGTATTTGAAGCCTTGGGGCCAATAAATATTTTTAAAAAAACTTAACGAAGATTAAAATCATCATAAATCAGAGTCTAGGTTCTGCAATAAAAAAGTTAAATGGCAGTTTACAAATACATACGATTTGGATGATTAAAACACGATAACAAAAAAAAATGGTTTATATAACTTCATTCGATTAGTTTATATTTTTTTAAATGCGATAAAACCTATCTTCAATATTTATTAACAGCTTAAATTAGGCGATTACTTTCGATCCCATATAACACAACCCCCTATTTGCCTTCGGAAAAAAAACTAAATCATTTTTCTGGAATTTAACGATCTAGGTGATGTGATATACATATTCACTGACTAAGCCCTTAAATACTTTTTTGGAACTGGTGATTTTTTAAAAAATATATAATATTTATATATACTTAAAAGTGATTATATATATGCCAAAACAAAATTTTATTCATTAAAAGCATGTTCAATTTTACCCTGATGCTTAACCATTTTTATGGGTATGGAGTAAATCAAAGAAAATGTTACTTCACGTAATATATAGCGCTTAAAGTATACTTTTATTTTATTATGTAGATTAGAGGGATTTGGCTATATATAAATCTATATTTTGTACTGTTTTTTTTTTGTTTCTTTATGGTAAAAATTCAAAAGCCATCGTTTTACCCTGGTTTCCCTTACCGGTTTAAAGAAATTTGGTCATGGACAACAAATTAATGTCTTCTATTTTTGATAGAAAACAACTGGACAAAATTAGGGTTAACATTAGAAGGATCGCCAGATACGGAGAAATTTAATATGATTTTTTTTTAAATTTCATTTTGAAAGCATTTTTAAGGGTGAAAATTACAAAACAAACTCGGGAATTTAACCATAATTAAAAAAAATTTTCTTCTTTATAACAAATAATATTAAATTCTTTCCCGGTTATTATTTCTTTATTTAAACGTATATCTTAAGTGTTGTTAAATGGTTTGTTTTGAGCCGATTTTTAAATATGGCTAACTCAATATTTCATCCAGAATAATATTACGGCAAGCCTGAAGATTTTGTTTGTAGGAGGAACTTTGGACAACTATTAGCGAAATCTTGAAGACTTGGGATATTTTATTTCTGCTAAAATATTGAGTTAGCCGTTTTTAAAAATAGCCTCAAAACTAACCGTTTAACAATACTAGTATATCTAATACACAACAGTAAAAAGTAAAGGTTAATATTATTTTTTAAATATAAAATTAATAGATATTATTTAAATAATAATTAATTACGTATTTCTTTATTTTTTGTTACATTAAAATCTTTACAAGTATAAATTAAAATTATGCTTGATCATCAAATTCCACTTCCAAAGCTGATAGAAATAAACCAATTACGATCCTTCCACCAGAAAATTTTTCATTAAACTAAATATGCTCTCTGAATCAGCGTTAGAGTGTGGTATAACGAGAATATAATATTGCATATTGTTTTACATTGTTGATAACATTTCAATTTAAATTTATTTATTTATTATTGTCTTATACCTTATATAATTATACTGTTTTAAGGCAATAATGTAAATCGTGATATTTTTAAATTGGATATTTAGTTATATTAAATGTTATTTAATTTTGATATATATATTATTTCAGAAAAAAAGAAGATTATTATAAAAATTTTATATTATCGTATAGATAAATAGTTATTAATAAAGGTTTTTTCTTTTTTCTTAAAGATAAAAACTTTGCATAAACAAAGAATTTATTTTAGTTTTCCCAAATAAAGACTTTATTCACATTCTTATTTCGACCAAATCTCAGTGCAAGACCCACCCCACTTACATCACATATTTTTTCAAAATTTGGCGCAATTGTTATTTGAAAAAAAGTACCCATTAGTTTTTATGAGACAAGTTCGATACTTTTTGACGCTTTTGTTCTACACTTTATGTATGTCTTTGGTTACTTTTGAATCAAGAATGGGGTATAGGAAATAAGTTTGTAGATAAATAACTAAGCGAATGTTTTGTTATGTGATAATAGATGAATGTCGTTTCGGTTATCTCAGTGTTACCAACACATAAATTATTCTTTTTGAAGTGTAGTTAGATATTAATTGATTCCTTATTTTCTTTTTAATAGGAAATATGTTTTTAACCTTGTTAAATGTTTTTTTTAGATCATGGAATGCTCCATGGTTGATATAAAATTTTATTTTGCATATTATACAAATTGCATTTAAGGCACAGTTATCTTCTAAGAATTAGAATTCCAGTTATTTTGATATGATTAACATTTTTTTTTGGATGTTAAACTTAAACTGTAATTTATATATAATTTTTAAATTAATGGAATAAAATTGGAAATGAAATATTATGTAAAAACTTTATTTAATTATTCAAAAATTATTATTAGATTATAAAAACATGTTAAAATTTTTAATAATTACTAACTTCCAAAATATCATCTCATATATTGATTTCTAAAAATTATATAAAAATGCTTACTTGACATAAGAATCATTCTTAGGAGGAAGTAATTATTATATCATAGAAATTTAAAGATGTTAAATTTGAAAGTTTTGGAGATCAAATAATATTTTTCAGAATTGTTTTTTCCTTTCTCAAAATATGGATAAAAAATAAACAAGATGTCTTTTTAAAATGATAAAAAAATCATAACAAAAGTTTCTGGTTACAATATTTTTAAAAATCAGGAGAAACATTAAATCAATAGAAAGTATGTTTTGGCATAAACTAAAGTAAAAAAATTGGGAAATTACTCCAAAAGTGGGAGATCTAGCTTAGCTACCTTGGTAAATACAAAGAGCCCCCATCACTTCTTTAATTAATGGATCTGAGGAAATTTTGGAAGTTATATAATCTAACAATCTTCAGCTAAAACTAATCAATGAGCTTTACCTACTTATATATTTAAATAATAATTCATTTACAGATAAAGAATAAATTATAATATATATTGCATAACTTATAATATATCTTTATGGAAAATAAATTATGTCAATTTGCAAATATATTACTTATCCACTCCCTCTCTTGATTGAATTTACTTTTTAGTAATTAATGCATTTTTATAACTTTATTCTAATATTGATTCAATGGGGATTTAAAATCCCTAAATTTTATATTATTTATTGAGAGTAATTTAAATTTGGACAATCTTATTTGACCAGAAATGACTTCCAGCACACAAAATACTTTTCAGATAGTTCTTGCTGAAATATTTTGTGTATTAACCATTTAAATGTGAAAAATTTATATAAAAATGAATATAAGTTAAGAGTGAATCAAAAGTTTAAGATATAATTGTATAAAATTAAGTGTGGGTAATCCAAATGTGCTGGTATACATTGGTCAAACTTATTTTCCTAATTTAAAATCTGAATCATCATGGATTCCATATCCAAATATAATATAGGCAATAATAATTATAAAATATTTATCCAGGTTATAAATATGTAATTAAAAATCTTTTTATAAAAGTTTTATACTTATAACATGGTGTTATTTTGTTCTAAATACATGCAATATGAATTCAATTTAATGATAATAGCAATAAGATATTGAGTCAAATATAAATATTATCCATTCAAAATATTCACCTTGCAAAGTTAATCAATATTTTATTATATAAAATCTAAAAAAGTATTGAATTATCAAATACTGTACAAAGCATACAATTTTTTATTTATTAAAACAATTCAAATCTATAATCATCAAAGCTCATTCGATACTAAGATTCATTTTTTTAAAAGAAACGTCATAAGCTGTTTCATGTTCTAAAATCTTTTGTTTATTAATTCTTGTCCTCATCCTTGATATATAAGCTAATGATTTTTCCATAGCTATTGGCAGTAAAATCTATAATAAAATGCATAAGTAATATATCAATTTAAAACTTTAAGCTTGTTTCAGTATTTCCGATTGAATATTCAAGATATAAAAGCATATATTGCTATGCGATGGTCTTTACAATTTATATTTATATTTAATCTTTCTTGATGCTTTGAATTTAAACTAGAAGATATGTTGGGAAAATAAATAAATTGGTGTACCTCGAATATATTCTTTCGCAACTTATCTATATTACAAATATTTTGAACTGACACTCGTTCAAAATTTTAAATCAATAGTGTGCTGAAAACATAAAATATAGCAATTTAAAATCCCCACCCCCCTTCCATTAGCGTATCTCTGTTGAATCAACAGTAGAAGGCACGCTTTTATAACGTATCACGTATCACGTAAGAAAATGTATATAATATGATATGATATATAATAAAAATATAAAACAAAAAAATATTTTTACCATTTATTTTTCCGTCCATTTTGATTTTAGAAACAATAAATTCACTATCTAAATTGCATGTAAAATTTATAAAAATAAATATTGAAAAAAATAATAACGAAAATAAAATAATATTAATTGATGAAGATACTTTCATTAAAATGTGTGTGAGAATATAAAAATAAATATAAGTTTAAATATTTTTATATGGGTTTATCATGTGAAAAAAGCAAGAATTTTTTTTCTCTTTTTAGTTTTCACCTTTTCTGGTAAGCTCCTTCAATAACTCTCTCCACTTTATGTTATTCATATATCTCGTCTATCTAATTTATACTTCTTCATATTGGCTCTAACTTTATGGCTCCATTGAAGTTTTGGACTTCGTCTTTTACGTTACCCATCTCTTCCAAACTCTCAACCTTATTTCCTATGTAGTTCATAGGCTTTCCTATTGTATGCCCATACCAATTACTTGCCATTATCTTAGTCCAGTGGCGTATCTAAGATTTTCTTATGGGGGGGGGGACTTCGCCCCCAAACCCCCTTATCTGGCCTTCGGCCAGCTTTCCCCGGGTCATGTTTTAGCTATTCCATTAAATTATTAATAATTTAATAATAATAATATTTCTATTTGTAACTATTATTTACTAATTCGTGCTAATGGATATTACAAGCCTATTTTTTATTATTTTTAGTTAGGTATATTATATTTAATAAAGTTTTCTAAATGTAAAGTTGAAATAAAGTTTAATGTCATTTTTTTTATAAAATTTGCTTTAAAAACTAGCCTCAGCTTAAATTCTCATACAATATAAGTATAATATAATTTTTTTATTGAAAATACTAATAGTAGTGTGTATAAAATATTAATGTTGTTAAACGGCTCGTTTTGAGACGGTTTTTATAAACGGCTAACTCAATATTTTCGCCAGATAAATATTAACTAAGCCTCGAAATTTCTACTATATGTCTAGACCTTTGCTCCTTCTATGAGAAAAATTTTCAGGCTTGCATAATATTTTTCTGGATAAATAACTGAGTTAGCCGTTTTTAAAAATCGGCTCAAAACGAGGCGTTTAACAATACTTATTGACTAGAAAATAATTTAAAAAACAAGTTTTTTTAAACTTCTTATCAAATACAATATTATACAAATTTTTTTATTAAATACTATAATTATAATGTGATTTTTAATTTTCGTGGGAATGTTGCCAATTCATTAAGAATTTTGTTTGTCGCAAATCTCTGTGGATATTTAACAGAGCTAACCCTTTTAGCAGATTCGGAAGTAGTACTTCATGAATATGTTTTCAACCTTTTTAAGTTGGAAAGTCCTTTCATTCGTAAATGTTATGATAGGCAAACATGGTAGAATATAAAACAACTTAAAATATTAGGAATTTGAGCCAAGGTTTTTTTACACCGATTGAGAGCATCAAATGCATGCTCAGGTAAAATAGCTAAACGTAGTAAATATTTATACCACAATTTGAATTCACTGATTAAATTTATTTCAGTATCAATATCATAGGAATAAAATTTTGCTAAATATTTAATTTTACCAATAGTGGCATTAGAAAACGAAGATGGATCTTTGGGTATTAAAACTTGAAGATTGCTAAAGACTTGTTTTTTATCTAAAAACCATACTTTTATTTGCGATAAAAAAGTATCTAAGAATGGGATGAAAGTGAATATTTTATAATATTCTTCAGTTGAGCCAATATTTATTTTACATCTCAATAATTGCCCAGGTGCTAGACGAGGTTTAATTAGTATATTATCATAAAATTTAGCCTTCAATTCAACGTCTATATAAATATTATGAAAATATTCATCTACATTCATTCTTATTGTATCTACCTGTTCATATATATTTTCCGCCAAATCAATAACCTGAACCAAATCTAAATTTGGTTTTTTTTAAATTTCTACAAAGCAATGAGCTATAGGAAAATAATTTATTGATGCAACTAGCAGCAATGATAAACTCTGATTGATCAATTGAATTCAATAATGATATCGCTTCTGACGACACATTACTTTTTTTCATGCTCAGCCTTATTTAACTTTTGTATTTCTATTTCTTCTGTTCTACAAAATCGAAGTAAAAATAATATTTAAAAAATTATAGATATTTATTAATAATTAATATTAAAAATACTTATTAATTCTAACTTACTAGTAATTTTGAATTTAATAAAAAAATTATATATAATAATAAAATAAATTACCATTTGATTTCAATCTCTTTGACTTAAAATTTTTCCATTTTATTAATATTTTTGAATAATGTTAATGTATTCACAAGGAAAGGAAATTTTAATAAAATTTATTTATAAAAAATAAGTTTTATGTTGGAAAATTGATATTTAAATATTTGTAAAATTTTGATTTTGGGGGGGGGGGGGGGGGGGGTGGGGGGGATAGGGTGGAGGGTAAAATTTTTATTAGCTTAAAATGATATTTATGAAAACTGCGATGGGGGGGGGGGGTTTCCCCTTTTCCCCCATTGGTTACTCGCCTGTCTTAGTCTTAATGGGAACTACCTTTAATCTTCCTAGTATTCTTTACTTCGCACCTTATCTTTTCTTGTTACCCCAGCAATCATCCTCAGCATTTCCATATCCATAATTTGTAGAATTCCTCTCGTCTGATTCTTTGGTTGGCCATGTTTTCGAATATAGAATAGTTGGTTGTACTATGGAACTGTTTATTTTTCCTTTCAATGAGTGGGATTCTTTTGTCAAGGAGCACTCCAGATATAGATCTCCACTTAAACTACCCTTATTTATTTTACTCTTTATCTCTTTCTCTATTATGCCGTTTGTTTGTATAATGGAGCCCAAATATTTACAGCTTTCATTTGCCGATATCTGCCATTCATTTATATCAATGCTCACTGTTTCATCTCCTCCTATCACCATATACTCCGTCTTTTCTCTATTTACTTTTAGTCCGCGCTTTTCTAGGATATTTATCCAGCTCACTAATCTTTCTTTAATTTCATCCTTGGATTCGGCAAGTATCAAAATATCATCTGCAAATATCATATTCCACGGGACTGTGTGTGGTATAGACTCTGCTAATACAGCTATTAATGTTAAGGAGAGAAGTGGGTTGAGAGCCGACCCTTGATGAACTCCTTCGGCTATTGTGAAGCATGTTGAAGTTATAGTTGTGCTAAGGACAATTGTTGTATGACCCATATACATATCCTGTATTATTCTTATATATTTTTCGGGAATTTGCGGCGTAGCGCCGACCAAATTAGTTTTCTTGGGATTCTATCAAAGGCCTTTTCTAAATCAAGAAAGACCATGTATAGCTTTTTGTTCTTTTCCCTATATTTTTCACTCATTTGCCTAATTGCGTGGATAGCATCAGTTGTTGATCTTCCAGGCATAAAGCCAAACTAAATTTTTCCTATTTCGATTATGTCTCTTAACCTTTTTTCTATTATTTTTTCGTAGAGGTTAAGACAGTGTGACATTAGTTTTATGCCCGACAATTCTGTGGATCCCCTTTATTTTTGAAGATAGGAACTAGATAGCTATACCTCCATTTTTGAGTAATCTCTTCATTTCCCAGTATTTTATTGTACAGATTTGTGAGGAGATGTATTCCATCTTTTCCTAGTGCTTTAAGGCTTTCTATTGGAATGTCATCTTGACCCATAACTTTGTTGTTTTTCATATGCTGAGACATGTGATTATTACTTGTTCTGTTATTAGTTGTACAAAATTTTGACATGGGGTGTGTTCATCTAGATGTAGTATGTGGGGATTAAAGTTGAGAAGCTCCTGAAAATATTCTTTCCATCTATTCATTATTTCTTTTTCCTTTATTATCAATTTCCAATCTTTATTTTTGATTACTTTAGGAGCTCCGTTTATATCCTTAGAATTCATTTCTCGCTGTTTGGCTAATCTGTATATTTTATTTTGCCCATCTTTGATATGTAGTTCTTCATACATGTCATCGCATACCATATCAGCCCTAGCCACCGCCTTTGTAGTTCTTCTCTTGGATTTTTTGTAATTTGTCTTGTCATCTGGGTTTTTGGATTTGTCCCATATTTTATATAGGGCATTTTTCTCCTTTATAGTAGTTTGGGCCTCTTCATTCCACCACCATAGTTCTTTGTATGATTTGTTGCCTCCCTTTGTCAAGCCGTCGTTGTGGCAATGTCTATTAATCTGAATGAAAGGTCTGTCCACATTTTTTCACTGACTTGTGAGGAATCTATTGTTTCAATGTTTCCATTGATTGCAAAGGCATCTGTCATTGTTTTTAATTTACCCCATTTAATGAATGGTTCAAGTTTTATTTTATTTTGAATGGATTTATTTGAGAATGTAAATCCATGACTAATAGCTTGTGTTGCGAGGTGATATCTTCTCCTGGGATGACTTTGCAGTTTATTACATCTTTTAATCATCTTCGAGAGATCAGCATGTAATCTATTTGTGTTTTCCTTGTACCACTATATTATTAAAAGACTGTCTTTTTTCCTATACTAGGTGTGGTAAGGTCAAAGTCTTGTGCAAATTTCAGTATATGCTTTCCTTCGTCATTTATTTTCCGTATCCAAAACCACCATGATGCCTTTTGTAGCTATCTCTTGTTTTTCCAACATGCGCATTTAAGTCACCACCTATTATTACTAGGTCCTCCTAGGAATTCCCATTACAGCTTCACAAGGATAGCTCTAAAGTCATCTTTCTCCCTTATTTGCAAAGGAGTATATACTGAAAGGATGTGTAGTATTGATTAACCAATGCAGAGTTTTATCTTCGTTAGTCTATCAGAGATCCTGTTGACTTCTATTATTGAGGAGGTTAGATTTTGACTGCTGATGATGCCGACACCATTCTTATTGCTAACAATTCCATTATAGTACAATTTATACACATCTCCAATCATTAAAGTCGTCTGACCTTTCCATTTCGTCTCTTGTACAGGGTTGCCATGTCTATCCCATCAGCAGGAGACTCCCGCAATTTTTAGTTTACACGCTGACATCTATCTCCCGCAAAACTACATTGGAAATCTCCCGCAAAAATCTACCGCAATTTTTTAATTTCTCCCGCAATGTTTTTAAAAAGTATTTTAACGTTTTTAATAAATAAATAATAATTTTGAGAGGGAGTAATTGATTATTTTTATATTTTTAAAATAAATTTTAAATATTTCGAAAAACATGTCTAATTTGTAAATTTCTTTTTATCCTCTTTTATTTTATCCAATAATAAATATACATCATTTCATTCATATAAGTCAGTATAGGGGAGTATATCGTATATCAACATCGATTGCAATACAAAAATATTCTCCAAAAATAATAAATAATACGGATGCAACTACAGCTGCGGAAATCGTATAAACCTATTATGTATTTCAACATTCAAAGAGCTATATTATCACAATGTTGGTATCTTTTTCCCATGATATTTAATGACTCTAATATAAGTGCAAACCTTACTTGGTTTTAGTACCTGAATCCTAGAGCTCAATTCTAGAAGATGAGCATCCATATGCAATTCCAACAGATGCATCTAATACGGGAAATATTAAAACATTTCCCTTGATCTTTTTCTATTTCAACTAGAATAAGAACATTCCAATAAAACTGTTACAATATTTTCCTCGGATAGTGAAAAATCCAACTATGTAGCTAACCACATAATGTAAATATAGCTGATAGGGTTATCAATGAATTGTATGTCAGCTATATGCGCTGATAATGCCTCTGTAAATTTTGGCAAAAACCAAAGTGTATTTACCTAATTGAGGCAGCACAATAATGAATTAATAACAATTGGCTGTATATGCCATATACAACATTATTCTTGCAAGAAGGCAATAAATGTACTATCTATGGATGTCGAAATAATTGTGATGAAATGTTTTAACGAATTTAGTTCATCAACTAAAAGAATTAATGAATTAAAAGAGTTGGTAGAGTGATCTGACTTGGAATGGTGTGAGTTTTTGCGATATGTACCTATCAGGTGGTTTTCATTAATACTTGCTATCGATAGAATTTTAAAATTTTACAAACCCTTAAAAAAATACTTTTTAAATAAAGATTTTATAAGCTGTCCTAAAATTTTGAAAAATTGGATTATGAAATGGCAGAAGCATATTTGGGATTAGTCTCACATGTAGGAAATCTATTTCATGGTTAATATTTAGTTGTAATCAGAATATTCTTTATTAATAAAGATTCACAAAATCATGCTACAGCTCTGTTCATCTCTAGAGTTAAAAATTGATAATAAATTTTATGGCGCTATTGCTAAAAATATTATATTAAAATGTTCAAATAATACTCTAATTAATACATTTTAAATGAAGCAGAAGCAGATATTTTTATTAAGACAATTTTAGAAAATTTACAATCAAAATTTTTAACAACTCTATTTACACATGTATAAATATGACCTCGGAACAGAAACCATCAATTGATGGTTTTTGTAATAAATATATTTAAAATACTGAAAAACATTGATGTCTTGTTTGAGGAGATTGTTTTTCTCTCTATTTTTTTATGATTAGCCAGAATACTTAAAGCTAGATGGTCTAAAAGTAGAGGAGAAATGGGTTGAATTTTTTCGTAATAACAATAAATCCCCATGCTTGGAAAAAATATGCGAGTGTCTTCTCCTTACCTCATTCTAATGCCTCATCCGAGCGCATTTTTAGCCTGATGAGGACTGCCCGGAAAAAGGAGAGAAATCGGATTGCTTTAACAACATTAGAGGCCGAGCTAATGGTTAAACATATTTATAATATGTCATGCCATGAATTTTAAAAATATCTCACTAACGACGGTAAACGTTTAGTTCCATTATTTAAATCTCAAATAAAATATAATTGACATTATAACTATTTAATTTTCCACATTTTTTTTATATTTTAAAAATCTTATTTATACATTCGCATAACATAAATATATTTTTTACATTGTAAATCAAAAATAGAGAGCATTACAATCTCCTCAGAAAAGACATCAATGTCTATCGGTATTTTTTAAATATATTTTAATATAGTTTTATCAATGGCGCCATAAAATTTATTGTCAATTTTTAACTGTAAAGAAGAACACATCTGCAGCATAATTTTGGGAATCTTTGTTAAGATTCTTTGATTGCAATTGCACATCAACAGCATGTAGTAGATTTCCTACATGTGAAATCAATCCTAAATACACCTCTGCCATTCATTATTGAAAAGAATTTTCGAAATGTTAGGACATCTTTTATAATCTTTATTTAAGAAATATATTTTTAAAGGTTTATAAAATTTTAGGAATATATCGATGGCGGATATTATTAATATATCGCAACCAACATTGTGCTGACTCAATTCTGTAAATACACTCTGGTTTTTTCCAAATTCACTGAGGCATTATCAGATCAGAAAGCTGACATGCAATTTATTGATAATCCCGAATCTGCTATATTTACCATTATATGGTTAACTATGCCTTTGGATTTTTCACTATTTAAGGGGAAAAAATTTAATCGTTTCCTTGAAACGTCCTTAATTTTGTTAAAATAGCAGAGGATCAAGGTAAATATTTTAATATTTCCCTTATTAGATGCATCTGTTAGAATTGCATATGTATGCCCATCTTTCAAATCGTCAAGAATTGACCTCCTAAATTCAGATTCCAAAACATTAATGGTATATTTGCTCATTTTTGTTCTACAAGTAAAGTTTTCATTTATCTTGGAGTCGTTAAATATTATGTGGAAAGATTCTACGCACATTGTAATGATAAGTAGCTCTGTGAATGTTGTACTACAAGATAAGTAATTACAATTGCTGCAACTGTAGTTGCATCTGTATTATTTCTTATTTTTGGAGAATATTTTTGTTTTGCAATGGATGTAGATACACTCTCCTGCACTGATTATAATAATGCGATTGAACAATAATAAATAAAATAATTATCATTGAAATGAGTATAATATTACCTTATTATGTATTTAAACGTGATACGTGATAATTAAGCGCCTATCCCTATAATGTTATACACACACAAGGTAGATTTCCAATTGCGGATGTTTTGCGGAACATTCGCATAAAATATATTTTTTACATTAAATCGTTTGTTTTTTTTATAAAATCTTATCTTGTTTACATTCTTTTATATTTAAAAAGGATCGTTGGTTATTTTATAAATTAATATATTTTAATAAATCAAGATGTTATTTTATTTTGAAAAATAGTTACCGACTGTATTTATATAAACTAATTATAAAAAATAATAGGCGGATAATTAAGTCAATTCAAAATACCGGCCGAAGGCCCTCAAAAATTTTTTGTTGACAACTTTTATATTTCTACTGCAATTTTCATATTACTCCCGCAAAATACCAAATTTATCCCGCAATTTAAAAATTATGACCTGGCAACCCTGCTCTAGTACGTACGCTATATCAACTTTTCTCTTGTTCAACATTGATGCCAATTCTCTCGTCTTACATTTAAGTGTCTCAATATTCAAACTTACTAACCTTGGCTTCTTTGCTTTGACCTTTATTTTACTTTTCGCTGCGCGTAGCTTGGAGGGTACGCCCTAGCTTTCATATTTTCAAAAAAGGTAAGAATTTAATAGAAAAAAAAATAACTTTAGGTAAACCAGATGGAAATGTGATGAACATAAGTTATTAATTATATATATATATATATTTAGATGGTCATAAAAATAAAGCTTTTATTTTATTAATACTACTAACATCAACACCAACAGAAAAATTGATATCTAAAATAAATCCTTGTCCTGCCCCATAAAGTAATCAAATATATGCGCAATTGGCAGGTATAGACTTACATTTGCCCAACTCTTTTTATATCAAGATATAGAGTTTAAAAGACAGTTCATCGGATTTTAACTACAAATATTTTAATATCGATTTTGGTTGTATTCATATAAAAATTTCCTTAAAATAGAACTTTGGCATCTTCGGCTAAATTCAAAAATTTTATGTTGTAATCTTCATAATAATAAACGAGAAAATCAATAATAAAAGGTGTTTTATGCTTTTTATTATAATAATATTATATCCTTTATGAAAAGAACGAAGGAAAGATTTACCTGCGAGTAAGTAAAAATATATTTTATTATTATTAACTAACTTCTTTTTCTCTTTATACACATGCTATATATATACTATATAAAATTATAATATATATGATTAAACAAAAAACAAAAAGTAAGGTTACGAAAAATAAAAAGTAATATAAGTTGAATTTGAATTCATAACAATAAATAAA